GCTGAACCTGAAGATCCTCTCCTGATTCGAGGCAGTAACACCTATTTGCTCTTCAAAGAAGAGTACTTCAGTGTACTGTGAATTTTAAGGCTTGCTCTTAACTGATGACACACAACAGAAAGAATAATCCTAGTACAGAGGAATTCAGCTGTCATTCTTCTCTTCATCTGGGAAGTCCATATATGACACAAGAAAAATCCTCACCTTCGTGTTTGCTGCAATCCAGTTGGAAGTTTCACTGTCATCATCACACTTCTTAATCCACTTCTTTAACCACTGTTAGACAAAAGCAGACAGAAGAGAGTTACATTTAAATGTAGGGACTGGAAATGCTCCCAAGACAGCTGCTTACATGAAAGGTTACACAACCACATGGGAAGATAGGTGTTGGTGCTGGAAAGCAGTAAGAACAGCAACTAATGTAGTTGCAGCCATTTTCTGCAGCACTGCCCTGACCCACAATCACTCAGCACAAACACTTCAGCAATGAGTTTGCAGTTCTCAAGTTCAACCAGCACAAATTTCACATGGGACTCTAAAACAATAAAGATGTTACAAGAGTGATCTGCCAAAACTGCAGTCAGGCCCTCTGTGATGGTTGGCTGCATATCAGGACAAATCACCAGGTTGGTGAAGCATGAAACACCTACAGAAATGCCCAGTCCAGGAATGCTTGTTGTCAAGTGAAGCATTCCCTCCTGAAGCACCTCCATTCCTTTTCAGAGAGTCACTGCTGCAACAGCCTCCTCCTCCTCCAGACATCACCCCATCTTGCTGAGCCACTGCTACTTCCCAAAGCCCAACTTGGAGGCATCCTAAAGGCATCTGGTATGATTTTGCTGACTCCGCTCACACTATGATGTGAACAGCCACAAAGCTCGTGCTTAATTTCTACCTGCCTTGTGGGTAAGTTGACTTCAGACTTCAAGTCATGCATTTAGGAAATAACCTGGAGATGCTCACCTTGCATTTCACAGGATCATGCCAGTTTTCACCGCAGTTAAAGCTGAAAGTGAAAGGGAAAATAAGTAAATGGGGCAGATGAATATGCTTTTATTTAACTAGGTTAACACTGCGGGAGTTTTCTTCTGGGTTGTTCTGATGAAAGACCAAATCCAGTCCCAAGGAAACATTACACATGCCAAAAAACACCCCCTCAGATCCCTCAACAGCCACTTCAGATGAGTGTGTATCTGAATGCACTTTGATTGTCTACAGTGCCTTCAGTCAAGAACATCACCTGCTCTGAAACCACTCAGCTGAAGGGCATCTCAGAGAAACTTGGATCTGTCTCCATGTCAAATGAGGCCCATGACTTAGAGCAACAACTACACAGTGACAAGACCTTGCAACCAGCTCTACCTAATCCCGGCCGACCATTTGAAGCCCACCCCACACTCCCCCCACCATCTAAACCACATCCAAACCACATCCCAATAGAACAGACTGACAGAACACATGCTGATTACACTCCCAAGGTGGTAAGTGAAAAGCAACATCCCCATCCTTCACTTCATTTCCTTACCAAAACTGACGCCCACACTTGCAGCGAACGGGTTTAGCATCAGGATACTGGACTTTGACAACGTGGTGACAATCTGGGGCAGGACACCATTTTAACAGTCGATTACACTGTGAAATAAAGCAGAACAAAACTCCATAACAGAGAAAGGATGATGCATGTGCAAGGACTGTACCCATCTCTCACCCCCTCCTCATCCTTCGGAGCCTTTCCGTCTCAGTCCCTCCTGCCTTACCAGTCCCCTTTAACGAGAGATGGTTCCTCCATCCCAGCATCTACTTTCTTTGTACTGAAAGCAAAGCAGGAGCACAACTGTCAACTCTTCACTGTTAAATGGCCTCTTAGGAGAGACCAGAGGCACCAATACTACTGTTGACCTCACAGCTCAACCAGAGAAAATACTTGATGAAGAAGAAGCTAAGAAACTTTCGACCCAGCACTGCCCCAGCCTTGCTGAGCCCCTGCTCACACCATGCACACTGGTTGTTCACAAACACCACTTCCCAACACCCCTTGAATACCATCTCATTGCCTGCTCCTACTGTACTGCAGCCAGAAAGGGTCTGCACTGCTAGACTTCGGTCAGTCCCCCAGTCTGCAAGACATGCTGAGGTCCAGTGTTGCATTAAAAGAAATAAACCACCAACAACCCCCCCTGTACACATCTCTGCAAACAAAGAGAGAAAGCCTGATCCCAGTAACAACATACTCAGCTCTGGAGTGAATCTGAACACATACAACTGGGAAACTGGGACAGTGGAAAGCAAATAGTATTCTGCTAAAGGCAATATTCCAGCTTTACTTCCAATGCCACCTGTTTGCTATCTCTAGGTCTTTTGTCCTGCAAAAGTATTTTTTTTGTATTTTCTACAACTGTACCTGTGACTAAACAGGCAACAAAGTCACCCCTGCAAAGCCTCTAACTCACAGTCACACTTGATTAGAGAATATGCAAAAAATCCACTCTACAGTTATAAACAAGCCTCACTTCTCTGGTTTGGTACATATGCAATGAAAAACAACCTCAAAGCCATAAAAAATTTCAAATAAAAACTCACCTCTACAAAACTATTGGTTATTAAATGCTGGTACTTTAATTTAACCTTGGAATCTGTGATCAGACGCCTGTGGAAAGGGAAAAAAATTCTTGTAGTAGAAAACTCATCTTTTCCATACACAGCCAGTAAGTTCAGACAGAAATTATTTTTATTCTTCTTTCTATGATTGTAATTTTCTGTACTTACCTGTTCTCTAGTTACTATATAACATTACTATGAAATCTACAACTACTGTAGTTAACTTTCAATAGTAGCTTCAGGATCACACAGAAAGCTCATACAGTTAAAAAGAAATTAACTTCCTCATGTGGGATTTTTATTTTAAAAAGCCCACCCCTCTCCTGAAGAGCCCAAGGAACAGCAATTAATTCCATTTACATCACACATATTTTGTGGCAAATCCCTTTAAAAAGCTCCAGAACAACTGTTGTGAGGTTATTAACTTTGGTAGATCTATTGCTGTCTGGGTTTCTATGGAATGCTACAGCTTCAGTTTAAAAGTTAATGAGGTTTTTAATCTATTTACCATAAAACCAATGTTTATTTAAATTCAGCATCATAGGGAGTGTATACAACATTAACTTTAAATTAACTCAGCCAGCTTGGAAGCAGGAGAGAAGAAAAGCAGACAGGAATCCCTTACAAGCATGGTCACCACATGGTCACCATGGACACACTGCCCCAGCTGGCACTGCAGACTCAGCAGCCTGGATAAGTTTAACAATTTTATTATGTATTGCTGAACACTTACATAAAAGTTTTTCAGTTATGATTGAAGTATCTTCTGCATATATATATCAGCTGGACTAATACACACTGTGGCATTGCTGTTTTAAAATCCACCAGTGGAATACAGCTTTTTACAGGCCATATAGCATATAAATATTAAAATTAACAGACTGTCCACACTGATGATTCAATGCTGCATAAATCCCAGCCCAGAGCAGTCTGGGGAGCTCCTCAACAAATAACTTGCTGGTTATTACATAAACTGGGCACATGGCACCCAAATTTCCAGTGCTAAAAGAAAACAAATCAGCTGACAAAGCATCTCAGCAGATCCATGTCCATGGCAAGCCTGCAATTTTGGAATGAAACTTACCCAAAGAATGAAAAAACGATTTGAACTTCGAATATGAATTATAAATCCCACTTTCTTAGTCCATACCCAAGCTTCTAGGCATAATACATGTCACTTTAAAAATAGAGTGTATTAGATGTACGCATGGGGAAGTGGGATTGCAATGGAGAGGAATGCCAGAGCTACCCAGTGCCCACAGAACACACAAAGCCCTGGGTTTTGCTGACCAAACTGCTCATCATCACTCCATGTTTGGAAGAGCATCAAGCACTGAATATTATTGTCTTTTGACAAACAATAAAGGAAACTAGACAAATGAAGAGAGGAAAGCTCTCCCAGTGCCCATGAACCCTCCTTTGGGGTACATTCCTCTGAGAGCCAAGCTGTAAAAGAAGACAACTATGCTGGAGAATCCAGGTTGGAAAAGCAAACTGCCTGCAAAAGCAACTTAACCCTTGATCCCTTCTGGCAGCTCGGTTCAGAACAACACACCTCAAAACATCATCCAAAAATGGCAGCAAACCTTTATCAGACCCTAAGTTTTAAACTTTTTGCTCCATTTTGCTAATGCAAACTCCTCAGAGGCCCATCAGTGGGATGAGCAAAACACACACCATGCGAGATGCCAAACGCCCTCCCAGAGGAATTACTCCAAGCCCTCACTACACTCTGACCTGCTGCACAAGCCTTGGCATTTGCAGTTCTGCAAGGGAAGATTTCAAATGAGGCAGAGCTCCATCAGACTTCCACACAGGAACCCAAAATCCATCCAAGTGGGTTGATTCTCAGAAGTTACTCCCAGCCTGCTCTGCCACCCAGGAGCAGAAAGGCAGCCTGCCCAGCTTCTTAATGAAACCAACATCTCTGCATGGAGCTTAAAGCAATTCCCAGCAGCATTAGCCAGGGAGAAACAGGGATACAAACACATTACCCTCAGCCAGTTTGAGGAGCTGAAAGGGACTCTCTCCAACCTTCCCACTGAAGCTCAACAGGAAGAAGGAAAATGGACAATGAGCTAGCTAAATACTCACAAAACCAGGCAAGTCATGTGAACTGCTAAGTCTGGACTTGGATGGAGAGAATTCAACTTGGAGATGTGCTGCCTTGCTGAGGGCAAGTACTGAGGAGAGAGCAAGTTAGTCACTTGGCCTGTGATTTGCTGATGGATAAAGAAACTGAGGTGTCTTTACATGCACACTAATCTTAGGTTCCTACAGCTTCAAAACCTAGAGCTGGAGACTCTAGTCTCTAGGAAAAGATCTAAAAAGAAAAAAAAAAAAAAGACATGGAAGGGGGTGCAGATTCCAATTGGAATTACCTGTATTTTTATTTATGCCATTGCATAAGATTACCACAGTTGGCCATCTTTGCTTTTAAAGGAAGGCATTAGACTTTGGCTAAAAAACTGTACCTCTCTCCCACAGACATTCCAGGTATTCCATGCAAGGTTGGGGAGGTGGGTTTTTACCTCCATAAAATGTTTCTAGTTTTACTTGGACAAAGAGAACTTGTTTGCTTTATCATCCAGATACCATTTTACTATCACAGGCCCTAGAGAACTCTGCCATTTCAGAGGGATATGAGGGAATCCCACAGCACATGGTGTGAGCTGCAGGCTGCACAGCTTCACCCCAGTGTTGTGGTTTTCTGTGCTACAAAAGCCAGGGCATGAAAGAGGAGGACAGTCAGCCCTGCTGCTAACACCAAGGAACTGAAACCAAAGCAACAAAAGTCAGCACTGCTCTCCTCACCTTCCATCCCTTCCTTGCTCCTGCTCCCACCCCACTTCAATATTTCAGCTGCTCAACTTCACATGCTCTGTTTGAACTGCTTATTCCAACTGTCGCAATCAAGAAACCACTCAAGAAATGTCCTGCTGAGAGCCTATGACATCACAGGTTCAGTTCAGACTTCAGCAAACAAAAACCTCCATCAGGTCAGTCAAGATACGATGCCAACTTCAGTTCAGTTTCCACCCACTGAACTCTTCAAGCCACCCCACAACAGCACACAAAAAAACTTGGGCTACTCCTACTTCTCTCCAGCCCACAGCGATGACTAACACGGAGCCACTAACGTGGGGGAGATGGGAAACCACTGGTCTGAAAGCCCCTGATATAAACCCAGCAAATTAATATCAATGAGTGAGTCAGACTTCAGGAAGGAAGGAAGAAGGTAAGAGAATGAGCTCCTATTTGGATGCTTTTTAGCATGAAGAATTAAAATGAACTTAATCAAGGTTGAGAATGATGAAGAATCTTACTCATGCAGTAACATCAGCCAACAGCACAGAGAAGGACGCTCAGGGAATTCACTGCTCCTCTGTGAGCAGTCATCCTACAGCTGGACAACTTAATAAAGTGACACAGGCTGACATACCAGCTTCATCAAATCTTATGTTTGAGGGTCAAGTGCTTCCTATCAGAGGGCACAAAACACACCCTACATCAGAATCTACAAAGGACTTCTCTGACTCACATATTAACTATAGCTACAGGACTTGGTGAACCAGTGGGTTGACCTAGGTAGGAAGTCCTAAATTCCTAGATCAAAGGAAACAAAGGATTTGGAAAGGCTGGCTGGTGTTTATTCTGCTGTCATGCTGACCAAATTGGTCAAGGAGCCTTTCCTCCAAGTACTGTGGCACAGGTTTTTCAGTGTTAAACAGGAAGTTAGGAGACATCAGTACCAAAATAGGCAATTCAGGACTGACCTCTCTGCTGCCTTAAAGCCTCTGTGCAGGCTTTTATAAGCCAGTACATTTGACTAACACGTAAGGAACAAAATGGAAAGAGAGAGGAAAGCCAAGAGGTAGCAGCTCATTATACTTACATAACTGTATTGTCATCAACTAAGATATCACAGCCATGAGCAGGGCATGAAATGGTCTGAAAAAACAAAAGGTCATAAAAAGAACAGTGTTTATCCTATTTTTGCAGCACAAAAGAATTCCAAGGCAACAGACTTCACTGCAGTCCATAGCAAAAATAGCACACTGGCTCTATCATCACATCCCAGATGTGCCACTGTGCACAGCACGATCCCTCCCACCCGGAACAAAGAGCCAGGCACCAACTCCAGGTAGTTCCCTTCAGTTTTACCTGTGGCAAAGGCTGCAACCTCCAGAGTTTTGTTTTTTCTATGTTTTTATTGTTTTGCTTTTTCTAACTTCAGTGGGGAATAATTCTCCCCTTCCTTTCCCCTTCCTCTGCAATATACAGAAGTAAGTCCTGGGGTGGGGGAGTTGTCCTTTTACCTGTCCCATGCCTTCCTCCATTATTTTGGTAGTTAAATACTCGCTCCAGCACTGCATACAGAACTTGTGTCCACACTCTAGGCCAGTAAAGTACTGCAATGACAAAGAACACAAGACACTTAAATCATTTTACCACACGGATTCACTCAATCACTTCACCCTCCTTGATGCCTTGCAGGTTATCACATCTCTCACCCCCCCACAACACTTGAGACACAACTATTTCTTTTGCATCATCACCCCCAGAGCCACTAGGTTCAGCTACAGTCATGTTTCCCAAGGCAGACTTTCATCCCCAAGCCCAGCAGCAAGGGAAGGTGTGGCTGACATTTCCATCCTGCCTGCCTGTTTACACTGATCCTCACCTTGAGGAGGCCATGCAGAGCCCAGCATGGCACTCTCCTTGTGCTGCTCCTGCAAACAAGTGAAATGAATGCAACACCACCAAACATGTCACAGTTAGAAGATGAAATGGAGACTTCTTTCCTCCTATTTTTTCCTCCTGGCTTGCTACCACATGTGGGTGCTGCCCAGAAGTCCCAGAATATGCACAGGCACTAATTTAGCTCCCTCTTGCATAGGAAACAGCAGAGGATGAGCAAGCAGAGTGCACTGCTGAGGGAGCACCAAGCAACACAACTACAAAGAACTGTCTGCACTTACGCCTCTAATGTGCATGTATCCAGTTTGCCAACTTGCTTGGTGAACTTCCCCCCCGAAACCCAGATGCTCATCAGATGAAGACAAAGACCTGATTGGCAGGTGTAAATGACTAATAAAATTCAGTAATGATCAGCTGTTGCTGATCACCTACACAGAGCATCTCATGGTACCATCTGGGACTGAGTGGTAATACAAGAGGTGGAGAAGCAAACGCTGCTGAGAAAAACAACAAAATTAAATTACTTTTCTCAGTTCATCCTAAAGTTATTGCACAACCAGAGCCAGGGGCAAAGGCAAACTACATATAAAACAGGCCCCTCCTACCACTGTGCAGGCTTCCATTTGATGCCTTAGCTTTTCAAATCATCTCTCAGCCAATAAAACAAGAGCTGCACTCTGAGATACCATCAACTTGTATGAAACTCCATCAATGAAAGACACCTGGTCTCTGCTGAGCAGCCCAGAACAGCAGCAGGATGCTGTTAATTATGAAAAGGAGAGTCCATTTTAAGGAAACAATCTTCTAATCAGAAACACTTTCTTGACCATTAGAGACTCAATACTAGTGCCCACTTGCCTGGCACTCCTGCCATCAAGGCAGGGACAGGTTGGAACCCGAGGCTTGGGAATACCCAGCCTTGCCTGTTGGAGAGCACTTCCCAGGACCAGCAAGGGGGTTAAACCTGACCAGTCAGCAAGGAGACAAGGAAAAGAGTCAGATGCTCAGCTCACAAGTAAAAGTAGAGATCCCCCACCCAAGCCTTTCCTTTCTTTGGAACAGAAATCAGGGTGATGTGTCCTGTCAGCATCAAGGCTCAAGGAGAGAGGCAGAAAACTAGGGGACCAAGGTACACAACTCCAAGGCTGAAAAAAATCACTTCCAGCTTCTGACCTGCTCCTAAGCCAGTTAACAAGGTATCTGATGCTTCACAGACGGTGCTGTGGCCAAGTGAGACCCCCTGGAGGTGCAGGTTATGGTAGAAAAGCCCCAATAGCTGCAATTTTTGAGATGCAAACAGCACACAACCAGCCTGAAGATGGCAGTGATTTTTTTTCCAGAACTATGGCTTATCCACATGAAAGGGAAGCAAGTACACACTAGGGGATCATCCCTTACTGAACCTAAGTACTCCTGCAGCAAGCACAGGAGGAAGCAGTAGAGAACACAGGCAGACACACAGCTTCATTTAAGACTCATTTCAGTTATTTCAGGCAGTGAAAATATTTGCTCAATTCCCACATAAAAGGCAGCAACCACATTTCCTCCCAGGCTGCAAAGCATTCAGAGTATCTTTCAACTGGTTTCTTTACTTTGAGGGCAATGCCAATTATTTTTGGCTAAGCTGACAGCAGATGTCAAGGGAGCAAAAAATGGCCAATGTAAAACCACCAAGTGTAAAGGGTAACCAAGGGTTGAAACAGCCCGTTACCCTGGGGACAGCTCTACTTCCACCCTAACTCATCACCTACTTGGCTTGTGACAGCAGGTGCTGGCACTGGGATGCTGCCATTCAGTGCCTGTCCCTGCTCCTCTGGCAGCATCCAGCTGATCAGAGAAGGGATCAGCTGCTCCAAGAAGTGTTTACCATGACAGCCCCACCAAGGATTTTTTAATTTCAGCAGTTACAACAGCACTGACATGCTGAGTGTGCTGTGTCCTTAGAACAGACAGCTGGGACAACAGCACCATGTGTCTCCAACACTCTCCCCCCAGAAGCCTTCATCTCAAGCAGGACCTGAAGGGCAAGATGCAAGAGAGGAGATGAGCAAAGCCAAGACCTGGGAGACCTTAGAGCACCTTCCAGTGCCTGAAGGGGCTCCAGGAAAGATGGGGAGGGACTTGGGACAAGGGCAGGGAGGGAGAGGACAAAGGAGGACAGATGAAAATTGGAAGAGGGAGATTGAGGTGAGACATGAGGAGGGAATTCTTGAGTGTGAGGGTGGTGAGAGCCTGGAACAGGTTGCCCAGGGAAGCTGTGGCTGCCCCATCCCTGGCAGTGTTGAAGGGCAGGTTGGATGGGGCTTGGAGCAACCTGGGCTGGTGGGAGGTGTCCCTGCCCATGCAGGGGGGTTGGATCTAGATGAGTTTTAAGGTCTCTTCCATCCCAAACCTGTCTGGGATTCTATGACCCTCTATATCCTGTCCTCACCAGAAAGGATTTTGCCTGAAATAACTACTGGGACTGGACACAGGTAAATGGGACCCAGAGGGACTAAAATATCTCCTTTAAGTTTTCAAACCATGAGGGTGCCAAGGCTGCTTTGAAAGAATCAAAATGCTTTGTTTTGCAGCTGCTTCCCCAAAATATCAAGTCTCAGTTCTTTGGGGATGACTGAAGAGCCATAAAGATATGATATTGTCCTTACATGTGCTTCAAAAGGCAGACAAATGCCTCCTGCAATGAATATTCACCCTCTTGTGGGGTGAAGACTCTTACACTCCTGTAACAGCTGTATGTTGTAACATTTCTTGGCAGGTGTTACTTCAAACTTCCAGCTTTCTGTAAGCTGGGAGGTGCTCCCAGAAGTAAGGCTGTTTTTTCAGGGGGGGAAAAATAGCTGACCATTGCAATACGAATCAAAAGCTGAGATCTTAGGTTAGGTACTGAACAAAACAGATTTCAAACCAGATGGCTTATGGTTACCTTAGACACAAAGACACTAAAGCCTTTTAAAGAGGGAGCCAGAAATACTAGGTTTTCCTTTATGCTCTAACTTTCACAGAATCACAAAATCACTTAGATTGGAAAAGACCTTCAAGATCATCAAGTCCAACCATTAACCCAACTCTACCAAGCCCAGCACTGAGCCATGTCCCCAAGCACCACATCTAGATGACTTTCAACCACACCCAGGGATGGTGACTCAGCCACCTCCCTGGGCAGCCTGTGCCAGTGTCTGACAACCCTTCCAGTGGAAAAGTTCTTCCCAGTGTCTAGTCTAAACCTTCCCTGGTGCAGCTTGAGGCCATTTCCTCTTGTTCTATCACTGGTTACATGTGAGAAGAGGCCAGTGTCTGTTTACAACATCCCTTCAGGCAGCTGCAAAGGGTGATGAGGTCTCCCCTCTGCCTCCTTTTCTTCAGACTAAACAGCCCCAGCTCCCTTAGCTGCTCCTCATAAGACATGTTCTTAAGGCCCTTCACCAGCTTGGTCACCCTTCTCTGGACACACTCCAGCACCTCCATGTCTGTCTTGTCTTGAGGGGCCCCAAACTGGACACAGTATTTGAGGTGTGCTTTGTGCAGTTCTTTCCAGCAACCAGAAAGCTGCTTGCCAGGCAGTGCATGTACTCCCTGCCAGAGGAAGGGCCTCAGCTCTGAGTGCTGGGCATGCAGCTCCCTCCCAGCACTGCATCTACATGAAAAAGGGGAGAACAACATAATAAGAACATGACATCTAAATTGGATGTTTCTAAGAGGACCTTTTCTGCCCCAAAATCAAAATTATTTTCTTACTACCCCACGTATAAAGGCTGCAATGAACAAACAAGAGGATTCTATCATAAAGAAGAGGGATGGAGCAATTTCTCAAGTTACTGTCTTTTTCAAAGCCCTTCACACCAAGCAAGCAACGATTCTCCTGAGCAGTTCTTCTCTCAAAAGGAAGTCAGTGCACACCAGGCCTAAAAGGGGATGCACCAAATCTTGTGGTTACTGGCTCAAGAGCAACAGTTGATCTTACCACCAAGGATCTCTGCAGCCTGGAGAAGACTCTGCTTTGCCTGCTCAAGCCCAGGCCTGTGGTCACCCTGCAGCAGGGGCACTTCATTCCAGGCTACTCATAAAGCCCAGAGCTCACAGGGATTTCCAGTCTGGCTAAAAATCAAGTTCATAAAACACACCCAGAGCAGGAGAACATAAGGGCTCTTTGCTCTTTAAAGGCCAGGCAGATGTTTTTGGAGGGTCAGGACAGCTCCACCAGGAACAGTGAGTTCCAAAGAAGAATTCCTCCTGTATGTCAGCTTTGGCAAAGCCTCAGTTGGACTATCATGTCGGGGCTTTTCCACTAATCTAGTTTTCTTCCAGGATCTCGCACCATTCTGTCCTGCTCCTGGAAAGTCACAGCAAGCTGCCTGCCTGTACCAAAACAGAGAAGAAATCTGGAGCTCTGATTATCATTGAATGGTTTGGGTTGGATGGGACCTTCAAGATTATCTAGATCCAATCCCCTGCATGGGCAGGGACACCTCCCACCAGCCCAGGTTGCTCCAAGCCCCATCCAACCTGCCCTTCAACACTGCCAGGGATGGGGCAGCCACAGCTTCCCTGGGTAACCTGGGCCAGGCTCTCACCACCCTCACACTCCAGAATTTATCCTCATGTCTCACCTAAATCTCCCTCTTCCAGTTTTCATCCCTTCCCCCTTGTCCTCTCACTCCCTGCCCTTGTCCCAAGCCCCTCCCCATCTTTCCTGGAGCCCCTTCAGGCACTGGAAGCTGCTCTCAGGTCTCCCTGGAGCCTTCTCTCCTCCAGGCTGAACACCCCAACTCTCCCAGCCTGTCTCCAGAGCAGAGCTGCTCCAGCCCCTCTGATCAGTTTGCTATTTGTGCACAGCTATAAAGAAGCACCATCACTCATCTGACCACAAACCAGAAGGCTGCTTTAGAACCCCAGTAAGCATTTCCTGAATCTTCTCCAATTAAGAAGGCAGTGCACAAACATGGTGAAGATCCAAAAAGATATCCATAGGGGTTGTGTTCTTTCAACAGTACAACTTAATTTTACTTCTCCTCCTACTCCATTTTATTATAGGCTTTCTGGCTTGACTATTTTGCATCATTATTTACTACTTTTATAAGCTGCTCCCTTAAAATTCTATTTAATTTTGCCCACCATGCCTTCCACATATTTTTTCTATCATGTATGATTTATTTGCAGGTCTCAGCTGGTATCTGATCTTTGTAAAAATGCTTGGGTTTTTTCTGAAGAACGTGACTACCCTGCTGCCCAGACCCCACCACCCTCAAAGGCTTTTGCTGGAGAGATAATAATTTCATTTGAAATACAATCCCATTTTGGGTAAACTAATAGTGATGGAGGTTCGTTTAAACAATAAAAAACAGAGTTAAGTGTCAAAGTTGTGGGTGTTATTGGTCAGTTACCACCTTGGCTACCAGGTACTCACCGAGTTTGGGTAGTTCAGATAGCAGATCTGACAAGGCATATCCTGGGCTGATGACCTTGTGTTCATCTGGCGCGTTCGAGACTTTTTACTGGGATTAATGACATGACACTCTGCAAAGAGCTTCTCCAAGTTGCCATCAAAGTACCTGCAGAACACACGCAAGAGAATGGAAAGTTAAGTCACTTCCCTGTAAGTCATTTTTCAAATTTTGTTTGGGAGTTAAATGTACAGGGTTGGTTTTAATACTTTGAAAAGCTCACACACTCACTGGTTTTGATAAACAACTACCAAACCACAGCACAGCCCTGACCATACGGGTGAAGATCCTTCTCCCAGAGGAGAAGGACCTGGGGGTAGTGGTAGACCAGAAGTTTAACGTGAGCCATCAATGTGCACTTGCAGCTGAGAAAGCGACCATGTCCTGGGCTGCATCAAAAGAAGCACAGCCAGCCAGTCCAGAGAGGTGATTCTCCCCCTCTACTCTGCTCTGGTGAGACCCCACCTGGAGCACTCTGTCCAATTCTGGAGTCCCCAGCATAAGAAGGACATAGAACTCCTTGAGTGTGCCCAGAGGAGGCCATGAAGATGCTCAGAGGGCTGGAGCACCTCCCCTGTGAAGACAGGCTGAGGAGGTTGGGGTTGTTCAGCCTAGAGAAGAGGAGGCTCCATGGTGCCTTTATAGAGACTTTCCAGTATCTGAAGGGGGCCTAGAAGAAAGCTGGGGTAGGGCTTTTTACATGGTGTGTAGTGAGGGGACAAGGGGCAATGGTTTGAAGCTTAAAGAGGGGAGATTCAGGTTGGACATTAGGAAAAAGTTCTTTCCTGTGAGGGTGGTGAGAAGCTGGAACAGGGTGCCCAGGGAGGTTGTGGAAGCCCCATCCCTGGAAGCATTCAAGACCGGGTTGAATGGGGCCTTGAGCAACCTGATCTAGCAGGAGGTGTCCTTGCCCATGCAAGGGGTTGGATCTGGATGATCTTTAAGGTCCCTTCCAACTAAAACCATTCTATGATTCCGTGACTGGACAATCACATCACTTCTGAGATCTGGGCACACTCCTGAGAACACAGGCACCTTGAGTTCTTCAGTTGCATTTCAAGTAATTTCAAGTAATTCAATAGTGATTTCTTGGCATTGAAACTCCAGGACAGGAACCTGAAGCAAGTGTCTTACTTCAGGACATGAGGACATGTTCGTAAAGCACAGGTGTGGGGCCCCAAATTTCAGTTCTATTTTCAGCTTAAGTCTTCATTTTTTCCCTAATATTCTCATTCCTACCACATCAAAGAGGGAGCAGGAAGCAGCAACTGGTCATGCTTTGAGATTCAGCAGGTCCCTCATTCCTGCACTTCATATTTTCCTCCATATGCTCCGTCTACATGTGTGCCCCAAAGAGGTCCTGACCCCAATTCTGGCCATTCCTCCTCTGATCCAAGCAGAAATGCATCAGCAAGTCAGACTCCTGGTTCAGCTGACAGAGAACTTCTGCACAGTCACCAGCTCCCATTAAAGCAACTGCAGGACTGCATTTCAGACACCTCAGGCATCTCCAAAGTTTGGGAACAACTGCTGCTCAACCAGGCATCTATCAGACCAGGACTCTGATCTCCAGTTAGGCCAGTCTTCATATTCACACTGAACACCTTGCCCATGTCCAAAGCCTGCAATAGAGGCAATGCACAGTCCCCCTCTTGGGCCAAAATCCCAGTCATGGGAAAATCTTTTGTCTCCAGACAACCAGAGGTGTTTTGACAACCTCCAAAGAAAATGCAATTCCTGGTTTCCAGTGCTTCCAAAAATTAGATCTCATGGAAGAGAGGATGTCAAACTGGTTGGGGGGAGATGAATGGGCACTTTTTATTTCCTATTCCCTTATGGAAAAAAAATATAAATATCACTTTGGTTTACATTCTTACAGAAAGCTCCTAAACTCAGTGAGGACCAGTTTTGAAAAAGGGACTAGTTGGCAGGTCAGCCTCTTCCCAGCATCAACACATCACTATCTTTCTCCAGCCTGCAGCAGCTGCAAAGAACTATTCAAATCTGCTAATTAACCAGCTAACCTTGCTGCATACCCATCCCTCATTCAACACCAATAAACCAGTCATTCTCCTCCCCATCATCAGCAAGTTAAATCCAAATTGGGACCTACCTAGGGAAAACAAACACACATGAAACACATTTGACCATACCACAGTCACATGTGAGACCAGATAACTTCAGCACACAGGCAAGGCTGTTTTTATAAGACCTAAAAAAACCCCAACTATCTCCTGTCCATCAACAGACAGAAAAGAATCAAGACTTTATGCTGGGCAAGGAATTAAGAAGGTGTGTCTCAAAAATGTGGGACTAAGCCTGGAATATACTAACCTAAACACCTCTGAACACATCATCTTTCCCGGGATGCATCAAAACCAGCATGGCCAGCAGGACAGGGGAGGGGATTCTTCCCCTCTACTCAGCTCTGCTGAGACCCCACCTGGAGCCCTGTGTACTCTGGAGCCCCCAGCATAAGGACAGGGAGCTCCTGGAGCAAAACGAGGAGGCCACAAAGATGATCTGAGGGCTGGAGCAGCTCTGCTCTGGAGACAGGCTGGGAGGGTTGGGATCTTCAGCCTGGAGGAGAGAAGGCTCCAGGGAGACCTTAGAGCACCTTCCAGTGCCTGAAGGGGCTCCAGGAAAGCTGGGAAGGGGCTTGGGACAAAGGCAGGGAGGGAGAGGACAAGGGGGAATGGATGAAAACTGGAAGAGGGGAGATTGAGGTGAGACATGAGGAGGGAATTCTGGAGTGAGGGTGGTGAGACCTTGGAACAGGTTGCCCAGGGAAGCTGTGGCTGACCCATCCCTGGCAGTGTTGAAGGGCAGGTTGGATGGGGCTTGGAGCAACCTGGGCTGGTGGGAGGTGTCCCTGCCCATGCAGGGGGGTTGGATCTGGATGATGTTGAAGGTCCCATCCAACCCAAACCATTCTAACTTTCTATGATGATTCTATGCCAGCATTGCTCACAAGCCCAAAATCCACTGCAGCTCTCCTACAGCACCTGTCACCAAGACTGGACTTT